AATATTATAATCAGTAAAATCACATAAGTGATGTTAATATATCGTAATATACATATTTTATAAACCTTTTATTGGAATTCATTGGATTTAGGGCAGTGAAACAATAGCAATTTACCTAAGATTTAATCAAAACCTAAGAATCGTACAAGTTCCGAATCATTAGTGATTGTCCTAAATCCAATAGGAGGGAAATCTGCGGCTTTCGGAGAGAGGCTGAGCCACGTAGAAGTGATGTTTCCGGTGGGGTAGGGGTGAGTTTTGGGGAAGAGAAGTGAAGTGGTAAAATAAAAAGGGGGAGAGGGGAATTTTGGGGGATTTGAACGATTTCAATTTCTCTCGCAACTGTTCGGGCTGACGGCAGCGGGACGGGTATGGGGCGATGATTTCAGGTAAACTGCCCCGCTATATGTTATTTTTAGTAGCGATCACGAATCTATATCTATATTATCTATATTTATATCTATATCTATATCTATATCTATCTACAGTCAAGCCTCTCTACAACAGGATTATTTGTTCCGAATATTTTTGGATGTTATAGCGAAGTGATGTTATAGAGAATATATATTATAACATAACATAAAAATTGGTTCCGAAAAAGCTTGGCTTTTATAGAGAAGTGTTGTTATATACAGATGTTATTATAGAGAGATTTGACCGTATACTATATTAAAAGCACGAAACCCCTTAGCGAAATATTGTTCGTATTTTTTACCCTTTAAAAATAAATTTTACACTAGACAAAGTAATCATTTAATTATTTTCCTAATAATTAGGACTTGGAAATCCATTGAAATTTGGTTATTTAATCTTTCCTGATTTGAATTATATACCTAAAAATTAGGACTTTGAATCAATTAAATTTTACCTTAAATAAATAGTAAAAAAGTCAACTCTTTTGGAGCTTTAATTTTTAACTATCTATAACGACCCGACCGGTCGTTTTGAGCATTTGCACTTTGCTCGGTAGTTTGAGGGCATGAATAACTCTATATGATGTATTATGACTTGTGTGAATCGTCGGTTTTGGTTTTCAGGTCATTCGGAATCGATTTGAAAGAATGAATTTCATGATTGAAGCTTTAAGTTGGAAGAGTTAACCAAGTTTGACTTTTTAGTATTTGACCTTGGATTTGAGTTTTGACGGCTCCGTAGGTCCGGATGGTGATTTTGGACTCGAGCGTATGCCCGGATTTGCATTTGAATGTTTCTAAAAGGTTTCGGCACTAATTGGCGAAAGTTGAAAATTTGAAGGTTTGGAAAGTTCATAAGTTTGACCGAGAGTTGACTTTGAGGATATCGGATCTGGATTGTAGTTCCAGGAATTGGAGTAGCTTCGTTACGTCATTTGGGACTTGTGTGCAAAATGTGAGTTCATTCCGAGTAGATTTGATATGTTTCGGCACGAGTTTTGGAAGTTGAAAAAGTTCAAAGTTCATTAAGTTCGATTCGAGGTGTGATTCGTTATTTCGATGTTGTTATGCGTGATTTGAGGCCTCGAGTAAGTCCGTATTATGATATGGGACTTGTTGGGATGTTCGGACGTGGTCCCGAGGGGCTCAGGCGTGTTTTGGATCGAATTCGAATCATTTTCCTTCATTTTTGCGTTGTTGGTTCTGCTGAGCATCTGGTTTCCTTGTCTGCGATCGCGCAGAGTTAATCGCGATCGGGTAGATTTGTTTGATGGCTAGGGAGAAGTTGTTCATCGCATTCGCGTATGTTGCTGCAAAGTGAATATCGCGTTCGCGCAAGTGTGCACGCGTTCGCGTAGTGATTTGGGCTGAGCTGGGCCGAGGCTGGTTTCTCCTTCGCGTTAGCACTGATTGTGTTGCGATCGTGTCACGACCCAAAATCCAAGTAGTCGTGATGGAACCTAATCCCTGAATATGCGTGTTATGTGTTTGGTGTTGAGGTGACGCACATGCTAGGTTACGGGCGTGTGGGCGTGCACCGTGTGAATTATGACTCGGTTGTTTTGTGGTACTGTGTAGTTACCTAATCTTGTCTTTATCCATGATATTTCTACATGTTAGAGTAATTGAGTTGTGATCCATGTTAGAAATCATGTTTAGACTATATGCTACTCTGTTGGAGGTCATATCTGCTATGGAGTTATTTGCTTAAATTGCAGCTACATACTCAGTCATACTCATTCATTTGCATATCATATCTCGGTCTATGTTGCTATTTATTGATACATCATATCATCATTTTTGGGTTGATTTTCATGACATTGTGAGCCCGATAGACTGGAGAGATTGATGACTGAACGAGGACGAGGTCCTGTTTGTGAGTGATTTTTATGGGATCGGGTTGCACGACGCACCAGGCTTTATTGATTCATGCCATGATTGGCTTATTATAGTGCTTGGGCTGGATCTGCCACTTCGGAGTCTACACACCCACATTGAGCGCATGTACCTACTGAGTGCGAGTGCCGAGAGAGAGTACCGAGTGATTGGGATGACTGAGTGATTGTGAGGACTGAGTGACTGTGAGAAATGAGTGACTGTGAGGAATGAGTGAATTGATACTCTGAGAGTATACATATGGTTTTATCACTGAGTTGCATTGCATTCGACATGCACACTTGACATGCAGGCATAGAGATGCATTTTTCTCATGATGTACGGTATTGCGTCATTCATGACTTCACATACACATTGACATGTTGGCATAGAGATGTACTTTCCTCGTGCTATTTGATAATGAAACATCTTACATGTTGTTGAAAGTTTTTAGGAAAAATCATAGTTTTTCAAAATTACTCATATTTTGGTAATTTCGGTAAAAGATTTGGGTTTTACTGTTATACTTAAAAAGCATGCCTATTTTTCGGAACTGTGAACGAGCTGAGCATTATATTTTTGAGTTATTACTTGTACTGCTTTAGTTATATTGTTATGAGTTGTTACTGGCTGTTGGTGTTGGACTCGGACATTTGTCCCAGCTCGTCACTACTTTCAACCTAAGGTTAGGCTTGTTACTTATTGAGTACATGGGGTCGATTATACTCATACTACACTTATGCACCTTGCGTGCAGATTTTTTGGATGTTGATGTTGATGTGCATGGCGGGAACTGGCATTGAAGATGTACCTGTGTTCCGATCATAGCTGCCTCTTGTTCTTGGTAGCTTTAGAATTATTAATTTAGAATTATTAATCTGTTCATATATATTTCAAATACATGATATATTTATTTCATACCAGCTTTATAAACTCTAAATCTTAGAAGCTCATGATTTGTACATACCAGTCCTTGGGAATTGTTTGTATAGAAGTTCAGTTATATTATCATTACATTTCTTAGTAAATCTCATTGAATCGGATTGTTGTTAATTGTAATGAGTTGGGTTAGGTGCCATCACTACTAGTTGGATTTTGGGTCGTGACACTATGTCACGCCCCAAAACCGAGGAGCGCGACCGACGCTCAACCGAGGGACCCCGACCGAGCAAGCCTGTTAGATTTCCTTCTACCCAAACTCATCCACGAATGGAGATAAAACATATTTCCATTAATTAGACAAAAACGTGATCATGTCTACAATTCCAATTCATTACCAATAGCTTTCATCATTTTTAAAGTCTCAAATGGAATAAGTAATACAACCACAACATGACATAGTTTGACTTCCCCAACACCAATACACAAACCACACTATGTCTACGAAGCCTCTATAGATAAAGAAGAGTACTATGATAATGCCGGTNTGCCGGCAACGAGGCCCCGACTATACCTCAAACAAAATACACAAAGAACAAAAGATATATGACCCCGAAATGAAGTGGGGCTCACCAAGTCAGCTGGGAAGAGGGTGCACCGCTATCACTGATCAATGTCTCTTACTGCAAAACCACTTGCATCCATTAAAGATGCAACGCCCCCGACAAAAAGGGACGTTAGTACTGTCGAATAGTACTAGTATGAAAACCAAACACCAATTTAAGAATTTGGAAATACAATATGAATATAATGAACCAGGGTGACAATAGAATAGCACAGATAGCCGCTAAACCAAAGCAAACTTATCAAGAGTTACCATTTTTTTTGATAAGGCAAGAGTTACCATTAACATTTATAGAATTTAAAAAGAGATCCCCTGTAACCTACTTCACACAAAGCGGTTCCGTCGCCTCNTCTTCTCACTCTAATCAGAGGAATCTATCTGAGAGGCATCTTAACTTAAATATAAGTCATAGCTTTGAAAAACAGTGTGATACATAGCATGAAACAGTTCTTAAATAGCATCAGTCTGAAATAGGATAAAATGAAACTGTACGGAAATATGCAGTAAATATTTGTAACAAAAACTCTTTTGAACATATGTATATCTTTCTGTGGGAGATCCTAGTTACTGACATATATAGTCACCATGTATACATCATGGCATTCGATCCTCTAGACCGTCTCACCGCGATTGTCGCGTGGTTCGACGTATATGTGCGTATGATGTAGTATTTGATCAATCCCAAACAAGGGAGAATTTCTGGTCCCAATCAAGGGAGACTAACTAATCACCCGACCTTTGTGGCGATCATAGTCCTACACCTGCAATGTGTAGCTTCAAGAATGGGACTTACTTGCTCAAACCTTCTCAGTTTCTAAGAGTGCTCCCAAAACATTTATAAACTATGGCACTATGACTCTTTCTGTAAAGCTGTGAAAATAGTATGCACATGGCTCGCTAGCCTATGTGAAAATAGTATGTATATATGGCTCACTGCCCCCTTTCTATAAAACTATACATATATGTGGCTCACTGACCTATTAAAATCGTATGTGTGGCTCAATAGCCAAAATATCAAAGGCTCACTAGCTTGAAGTATCTGTAAAAATAGGGGATTTACTTACTTAACATAAGTAAATCCCCTATTTAGGGAAATATTATGAAAATCCTTTGTAGAGGAACGTGAAATTAACTGATATCTAGACATAAGAAATATTACAGAAAACTCACAGAACTTATTGAAACTTGGAGCTTTAGAACATCAATAGAAGTACATAAAGTCGTAAAAAGACTTTTTGAAACTGATATACTCTAGAGGCACTTGAGAACGTATATAAACGTACGCGAACTCGTAGAAGAGCTTCTGAAACTGCTAGGCCATGAAGGCCATAAGAAACTGGTACAACTGGGAGGATACTTATATACGTTTAGACCTTTCTTATTTAAAACACTCAGACATGACTATCTTTCGATCCGTAAGCGACATAATCTCGAGAGGCATATGAGTGATCTTGTTCAAGCCTAAAGGCTAAATTAATATTTCAACATTTGTAGTATAGCTTCAAGAAGCATATAAAAGAACTCATTCAAGCTTATGGGTGGAACTACACCATCACCAGTCCCNTTTAAAACACTCAGACATGAATATCTTTCGATCCGTAAGCGACATAATCTCGAGAGGCATATAAGTGAACTTGTTCAAGCCTAAAGGCTAATTAATATTTCAACATTTGTAGTATAGCTTCAAGAAGCATATAAAAGAACTCATTCAAGCTTATGGGTGAACTACACCATCACCAGTCCAGTAGGAACTGGACATCTTATAACGCTCTTGTACTTCGAGTTCTAGCATAAAGAGCTAACATAGAATTTCTTGAAATTCTAAGGTGTAACATGTACGAATGACTATCAATTCACATATGAATAAATCTAGATCCTTAGGGAGATCACATCAAACATATGGAACTCTATATCTAGGAAACCGATAGATATTCCAAAATTGAGATGTTTAGCCTTACATACCTTGATTCTCAACCTTTAGCTCAACTACAAAGAATCGATCCATCTGTTATAAGCTTCAACCTACATAGAACGTTAAAGACGAGGACTGGAATCAACAATAACAACCCAACATCATGCTTTAATTATACAAACAATTCGTCAAACACTCGGAGAGCGACGAGTTCTCGAGACTTAGAACTCATTGGCGTTCTCCACACCCAACCTTCTCCTAGCTCACACAACAAACAAACTCCATACAAAGCTAAATAATACCTCCCGTTCTTCATAACACATAAAACAACCCCTTACTCATCTCAAACAAATAACAAATCTTGGACTCACAGCTTCCGATCATCATCCCGTGAGTTCTTATCGTAAAACATACTAAAACACTCACATGAGCTCGTACATGAAGGTGGAAGAGAAGCCTTATCTTGGCTGCCGAACCCTAGAACTCTCTTCACTTAGTTCTCTTGGATTAACCCCTTCGATTTGCAATAATCCGCAGATGAATTGATGTTAAAATCATGAAATCAATGGGCGGAATAACCATGTTTAATTCTTGGAAGAAGCTTACCTTGAAGATCTTTGATGACGGAGAGAAAAACTCGAGAGAGCTGTTTAGTTCGTCCAAGGGAAATGTTACAAATGAATTCCCAAAGTTTCGCTTACAAAACATAAAGTTTAGCCGACTTAACCTTGGAGGTGCCACGTATCCCGCATCATTTTGGCAGTCTGCATGTCCATAATAAAATGTGTATAACTCTTTGTACTGAAGTAAGATTGATGAACGGTTTAATGTATTTTTTTTTTCTTTTTGTTTAATGCATTTGAAATTAGAATTAAAGGCCTTTAATTGGGTAGTTAATGCACTCAATTGTCACGCCCCGACCTTGGGGAGCGCGACCGACGCTCAACTGAAATAATCCGGCCGAGCAAGCCTGCTGGATTTCCTTCTGCCTCACTCACCCATAAATAAAGAGAAGATAAACTCCATTAATTGACACCAAGAGGGTTCACGAACAACACTAAATCCATCACAATTAGTTACTTCAGTTATAAAGTCTCAAAATACACGCACTTTCATAGTTTGAAGTGGAAGATATAACACACATACAACATTACTATCTTGATTTTTCCCAATACCATTACACAACCCACACCCGGTCTAGTATGAAAACCAAAACATCTATTCAAGGACTTGAAAATACAACACGAACATGATGAATCATGGTAACAATAATAGGGCTTAGATAGCCATACAAGTCAAAACAGATTTATTAAGAACTTCCAATAACATTATAAATTTCAAATCGGGAATCCTCTACAACTACCTTTACACAGAACGCCCTTGCCGCCTCACCCCAATATATGCGGGTGGAGGTATAATCACAATACCAGAAACTCTACACAAAGCGGCCCCGCTGCCTCACCCCAATGTATGCGGGTGGAGGTGTATTCACAATACAACAACTATACACAAAGCGGCTACGTCACCTCACCTCAATGTATGCGGGTGGAGGTGTAATCACAATACCATAGCTCAACACAAAGCGGCCCCGCCGCCTCACTCCAATGTATGGGGGTGGAGGTGTAACCACAATGACACAGCTCGAGTTCCCAAAATGATAATAATATGTACAAAAGAGCTCCCTTCTAATCAACTGTTTGACACCTTTGTTAAACGGTACACGGGATGCCAATTTTGTCCCGTTTATCCCGTCCCGTCCCGTCTGTCCCGCGTGTTTTTNCACAAAAATCAATCATTCTCTCTCAAATCTCTTACATTCTATCTATATTATTCTCTCAATTTTCTCACAATTAAGTGATCAACTAAGTTTCACATATTTGGGCAAATTATTTGATCAACTTTCAAGCTTCAAATTAATTCTTCAAGTATTTGGAGCAATTTTTTGGGCAATTTCTTCAAGTTTTAATATTTAATCACGGTGCACTCGTTCCATCTCGTAATTGAAATATATATAATTTTTGCGTATCATTTTAGTGCTTAATTTTTGTGTTTACTTTACGTGTTCTATTTTCGTATTTCATTTGTGTGTTTAATTTTTGTGTTAACTTTTTTAATTTAATTTCTTATTTAAATTATGGCACCTAAAGATGTATTTGGCCTATTTTAAAAAAGTAGTAAAAAAAGTAGTAAAGGTGATAGTAGTAGTAATCCTAATCCTAGTCCTAATCCTTCTCTTAGAATTAGAAAATATATAGATGAAATGACTCATGTTGATGAAACTTCATTTTTCGAACCCCCTCACATGTTATAATATTAATTTCGGAGAATAACTAGATCATAAAACTTTACAAAGTCAATTTGGCAATGATATTTTTATTGAGGATGAAGAAAATGAGGAAGAAGAAAATGAGGAAGAAGAATTAGATGAAACACCCACTAGTCCCGCAACACAAGCTCCAACTCAGAGTCAATCTCGGTCTGGATCTATACCTCTTGTACCTCCTATAAGGGGTAAGCTTAAGGGTGAACGTGCCAAAATATCACTTGTATGAAAAATTTTTAAACATGATAAAGTCAATCAACGTGCTATATGTGAAAAATGTAAGCAACGATTTGTACACAAGACTAGTGGTGGGACGGGGGGTTTAGCCAGACACTTACTTAAAGAGCACAATTCTTTATGGATGCAAGCCAAATAGAAGCCGGGAAAATTACGGATCCTAGCACCGGTACTGGAGCTCCAAGTGGATCTGGCGGGGGTTCTAACNGGATGAAGAAAATGAGGAAGAAGAAAATGAGGAAGAAGAATTAGATGAAACACCCACTAGTCCCACAACACAAGCTCCAACTCAAAGTCAATCTCGGTCTGGAGCTATACCCCCTGTACCTCCTCCCTGTACCTCTTGGGAGCGATGACGGCATGAAACTCATTGAATATCAATCAACATTGCCAATTCCAGAACAATGTCCGAGAGAAATTATAGATAAGTTACAACGAAGCTATATAGAAGCTTACAAATATTAGTATGATAATTTGTAATTGGCTACTAAGAGGCCTAGTTCAAACAGAACCCTTCCTAGAAGGTGGCTGCGTAGATTAGGTGCTCTTCAAAAGAATTATATTTGTATATGCAATTTGAAAGTTCTATTAATAAAATAAAAGGCTCTAAGCCTTGAATTTTTTTATGAATTGTCTTACACTCTTACTTAGTTGCTTAATGGCTTGAAATTATATTAAATAAATTATAACTCTATTATAATTATTAAAATATTTTATTACAAGTCTTTTTTTTAATATTTTATAAATCTCTACTTAGTTTCCTAATTTTCTTATAATTTATTAAGTTTTAAATTTATTAAATAAGTCAAAAAACTAGCCGTTGCAAACTTTAAAAACTTAGTCATTGTCAAAAAAATTAATCGTTGCCAAACTTAATACTTAAATAATTAAAAAAAAACAATTAAAAACGGCCCACTTAAGTCCTGTGAAACCGTCCCGTCCCATCCCGTTTGTTAGCGGGATGGGATGGGCCTACCGTTTCATCCCGTTTAGGCCCGTTCCGGCTAAATATCGTCCCGTCCAGTCCCGTTTATTTGGTCTCGTCCCGTCCCGTTGGACAGCCTTAAGCTGAGATGAAAGAAGAGGACACTTTGCTAATTAAAGAGAGGAAGCAGTTGAACAAGGTTTGTTTCTTGACTTTTATATTTAATTGATCCATGGTACATTGTTGGACTCTAGTTCCTTAAAGTAACACCTCTGCAGGAATTACTTCTATTACGAACCAATCTGGACAATCAGTGGGATACAAATCAAATCTTTAAGAAAATGAAGGTAAATTCAGTTCTGGTTTATGTAATTATACCATTTTAGGATATTATTTTACCATTTGCGCTTTGACTATCTTTGACCGTGGCATTTCATGTATCATTTACCGGTGAAATTATTATTCACTACCTTGATGTTCTTTTCTGCAGCTTGATTTACAAAGATAACAGGTAAATGAAAAAAGTACAACTATTGCATATGATGGGATTTCGGGTCAATACCAGCTACCCGAGTGGCCTAGTAATCTATGCATTTCTACATTCCAAGAAAATGGCTATTGTCAAGAGCAAAAGGAGGTGGAAGATCAGGGGTCTAAGTTTATGCTCCCAGATCTCAACCTTCATTACTAATAAAACATGAATCAGCTATACATAAATTATGTAGCTAAACATCAAAATTTGTTATTAATCCTACTTAACGGTAGATTAGCGACAAATTATCAAAAAAAATCAATTTTGCGACATTCCAGTTCTTTTTATAATTAGCAGAGGATAAGTATAAGGCAACTAGAACTTAGAGCTAACCTTGTAATCAGAATTAGGATATCTGAGTTTTCCTTTAATGGGTGTCCACCATAGGTTAGACCGACAGAGATTCTAACTTATTAGGTGCATCCACATTCTTTACACTGTTATCTATCATGCCTAGTTATTTGGAGCCAACCCTTATCATACGTTACTTCTGAGTGTCTCTCGAAATATACAAATACAATGTAACTGTAATGAAGGTAGTCAAATCTTATTCCCTCAATACTTTAATTTATCTGTTGATGGATGAAAAGAGTTAAATGTAGAGAATCACCCCCTCTAGTATAGAAGTATTTGATTTTTCTTAAAATTGTTTAATTGTATGGAATATAAATCCGTCAAGGAAAAGACAGCAAACACAAATTGTAGTTCTTCTTTTGCTACTATTATAGGCCTTAATCGTTATTCTCGGTTTAAAATAATAATTTTCCAAGTGGTCCTGTCAAGGAGGTTCAATTTTTATTGCTAATGCTTGTAAATCAGTGCTTCTCTCAGAATTTTAAATTTTTTGTGGTCCTATTACAGCTTATACGATTCTCCTTTTTCTTTTTAACAAAAATCGAAAATCACAAACCATAAACTATTGGTGCTTTCTCTTTTACTTCTTTTAAGGGCAATAACTAATTAATGGCTGCCCGACAGAGATACTGTATACCTTTCAAATATATATCTATACGTCCAAATCGTTACCCAAGATTGTTTGTTGCAAGAACTTGCAACTGAAATATCTAAACGGATTCTTAATTATATTCTTCAAGTAACATGTCAAAATTTTGAGTGATTGATCAATTTTTGGGTCGCTAATATCAATATTTAGACATGTAAACTCTCTCAAAAGATCAGAAAAACAGCGTGATTTTCATATCTTTATTTACTATACTAAGCAATATAATCTCCGAGATTCGTAACTATTTAAAAATTACAGTTGCCCCATTGGGGCGGCCTATATGTGATTAGCTAGTATAAAGCCATAATCTAAACCTCGAACTAGTTGCGGCTTAAAGGAAATTGAGGAAAACATGACTAAAAGGAGAAAGAAATGTAAGGACCAAAGGTTCTATATGCCAAACATTATTAGAAGTTTATTCGTTTTGCTAAGGCCAAAAACCCCTTTATTCGATCTTACGTATCTTTTTTTGGCAAACAAAAGGATAATATTAGAACCCTACTTAGTATTATAAAGAGTTGCTTGTGAAAGTACTCGTAGTAGCCATATAGTATAATAATACAAGCTATGGTACGCCTTTACGGTTAGGCGAAATCGAACTATATTAATCGCATTTATGTCCATTCTCACACCTATAAATTTGAAGTTTCATTTCACTTAACTACACCATTCAATAAACCGAAACCGCTATATTACATTTTTTTTAATCTAATTAAGGATCTGAGACTGTCTTCTTTTCCAGCTAACATGGCCTCAAACTGCAATACTAATTCAAACTTCGATGAGAGTCGATGGGTTATTCAAATCCGTCGAACACTTGACGAAGAACTTGAAGAAGATACTGAAATTCCAGTTAGCATTTTCAACGTCCCAAAAGCTCTACTGTTGAGCGATCAAGATTCATACGTGCCACAAGTAGTGGCAATAGGCCCATACCATTATTGGCGTACAGAACTGCATGATATGGAAAGGTACAAATTAGCTGCTGCAAAAATAACTCAGAAACAGCTCCAAAGTCTCAAATTCCAGCATCTTGTGGAACAGCTGATAAATTTTGAGCACAGAATTCGTTGTTCGTACCATAAGTATTTGAATTTCAATGAGGAAACTTTGGCCTGGATGATGGCTGTAGACGCCTCTTTCTTGCTCGAGTTCCTTCAAATCTACGCGATTAGAGAAGGTAAAATTCTAACTAGAGTTTCCTCAAGAATGTCACATTTGGTTGATATTGCAGGGAGAAAGTCCGCGCATAATGCCATTCTTAGAGATTTAATTATGCTTGAAAACCAAATCCCGTTATTTATATTAAGGAAAATGTTGGAATTCCAGTTTTCATCTTTAGAGTTGGCAGATAACATGCTGGTGTGTATTCTAACGGGGTTCTGTAAAGAGCTTTCTCCTTTCCAAATGGTAGATGATTTCCCAATAATTCAAATCACAGAATGTGTTCATTTGCTGGACTTTTTGTACCAATTTATCGTGCCCAAATTAGAAGGAACTTCTGAAATAACAAAAGATGATCACGAGCAAACAGATGCCAACCAAGTCGAAAATAGTAATTTCGTTGGGAAATCAAGTCATATCGGACAACTTATTAATGAAATCTGGAAAATCCTTGTGAAAATAAACAGAGGCCCGGTACGTCTTCTTAAGAGAATAGTATTTTCAAGACCAGTTAAACTCATGTTTAAGCTGCCTTGGAAATTCATTTCTAATCTTCCTGGAATAAAACTTTTTATACTACCTATTACATATATGTTCTTTTCTCAAGAAAAAGCAGAAGTAAATTCTGAAACTAATATCAATAAACCCCCTCTGTTTGAAGAAATAGCCATCCCATCAGTTACTGAACTTTCTAAAGCCGGAGTCAGTTTTGTAGCAACCAATGCTGGAATCATGAGCATAAATTTCGACGATAAAAAGATGAAATTTTATTTGCCTACAGTCAGTCTAGACGTAAACACAAAGGTCATTTTGAGGAATTTAGTTGCATACGAAGCATGTAATGCATCAGGGCCTTTAGTTTTTACACGTTACACTGAATTAATGAACGGGATTATTGATACAGAAGAGGATGCTTTGTTACTTAGGGAAAAAGGAATAATATTGAACCGTTTGAAGAGTGATAAAGAGGTTGCAAACTTGTGGAATGGGATGAGTAGATCGTTGAGATTAACTAAAGTGCAGTTCTTGGATAAAGTGATTGAAGATGTGAATGGATTTTACAATGCAAGATGGAATATTAAGACTGGAAAAATGATGAAGCATTATGTTTTTGGGTCATGGCAAGTTCTCACATTCTTGGCTTGTATTATGCTCTTAATGTTGATGACTTTACAAGCATTTTGTTCAGTCTATAAATGTGCTCGTATATTTCATATTCAGAATTCTGATGACTGATCTTTTATAAATGATTCTTTTTCTGTTTTGTTTTGGTCTGTACATAAAGTAAAAAGTTCTTCCTATGGGATGACTATTGGTTGAAGAAATGCTAAAGTGAAAGGTTGGTTTGTGAGATTTGTTTAGACGAAATTAAAGATGCATGTTGCTATAATCATGTTTTCAGATTTGATGATAGTTTGATTCTTCCCAGCCGATGGACTCTTTATCTTTTTCAAAATGCTTGTTTTTTCAATGTTGTGGAAAATTATTATTTTTCCTTTTTCCTCCTCTCTTTGCCTACTATTATAAGATTAAAGACGATACCTTACCTAGTACTAGTAACTAAAGGAAACTCAACTTAAGTTTTTTTCGGAGATTGGATACGATACATTTTATTGCTCACCTCAATAACAATGTTGAAATTTATCTAGTTGTAATAAGTAGTACTGTCATACAATATAGATGTTTGTTTCGGTATGGATAAGATACTTCTAAAACAGGACATCTTATTACTGGATTTGCACAAACATGGTTACATGAATGAATGGTGTAAATGGCGAGTAAAGAATACTTTTATATAGCGACCTATTTTTCTGTTAGTCAAATATAAATCTCAGTATTTCTGTAACAAAATTTGCAGTACTCTTGACGGACTAAAGAACCAAAGTTTAAAAAGAAATGTGTGATGCTGTAAGAACAAATAGTATAGTAGGAATATTAATTAAATCAAGATACGTTAAGAGCGGCAATACTTTGCAATACACTGGAATTACCTACCAGCAGGAAAATGCAAAGAAATCAACGAAGCATAAGTCAAGATGAGAAGAAAAACAGCTGACACATTTTGTGTTAACTATTAGCACGGATGGTCGAGAGTCCGACTGAGGTGGAAGCTCAATCCAGTGCTGTGGTAATGACGATACGTACGCTTATGTTAAAGTTGGATCTTGTGGCAGTTGATCAGGAACTAATGGTGGTGAAAAGATTGGGACAAGGGGTGTTCCAGGGGGTAAATCTTGTTCTGGCGGTGAAAATATATAGAATGGAGGTGTATCAAATATGGGGACAAGAGGAGGTGGTGGTGTTGATAACTTATATGGAGGTGGCGACGGAACTAGCGGCGGTGGGAATATTATAACTGGCGGTCGTTTTGGTGGAGGTGGCGAAGCAAGTAGCGGTGGTGGGCGGATTATAATTGGTGGCCGTCTTGGTGGAGGTGGCGACGGAACTAGTGGTGGTGGGCAGATTATAACTGGCGGTCGTCTTGGTGGAGGTGGCGACGGAACTAGCGGTGGTGGGCGGATTATAACTGGAGGGCGTTTTGGTGGAGGTGGCGACGGAACTAAAGGACGACGTCTTGGGGGAGGTGGGGAAGGAACTAAAGGAGGACGTCGTGGCATTGATCTTCTTCCACTACTGCTTCTGCTTCTGCTCCTACTGCCAACGTTGCTGCTTCTGCTTTGGCTGTTTATGATCTTCTCTTCTTCATCTTCCCCTGCCTTTTCATGTTTGCTTTTTGGGTTAGTTTTGGCTTCTACCAGTACGTTTGAACTAATAATCAAGAGTAGAACTAGCAAAATCAGACTAGCAAGGTTGATTTTCATCTTTGATCTACTTGTTTTTGGTTTCCTTCTAATAAGTCCTTCTCATATGGATTTGCCAAAGTCTTCCGTTTTTTATATGAAGAATTCAATAGGAGTAGTAATTTATAGAATCATATAAATGCTTATTGGTAACCTTTGTGCAGTAATTAATGAGAATTAGGGTAGTCTCATATAAGATGAGAAACGCTACTTAAATGCGTTGCAGGTAACAAGTAAACACCAGACAACCATCAGGCATCAGGGTGCAATAGTCAATGCATGCAACTCTATCACAAATATCAATAAATGGGGATTAGGATAGTGTCTATTTTCTTTTTCTTTTTCTGCTTTTGAACGCGGTTTAATAAATCCACCATTAATGGGAATGATAGCATTAATTTAAAATACAGTAGTCCTATTATTTTCTTAATGATGGTATTTTATGAGTTTGCTCATTAAAGTCGTCTCAAAAATTTAAAATATTTTAACTTTTAAATACTGTAAATGAATTTCTTGTGCATATACGTGGTTGATTTTGACTCCCAAGTGAAAGGTTAACTCTTTTTTTTTCAAATAAGTGAAACGTTAACTCATATTTGAAATAGTTGTCTAAAAAATCAGTTTGTTACGTTGTTGAAGTGGGAAATCTGAAACGTGTTGGTGGGAGGAGGGGGAAAGGATCAATGAGCATGCATGGGACAATTTGCTGTAAACAAGTAGGCGGATGGGTCGACACTAAATGTGAAAAATGCATTGTTCTATGTGCCAATGTTATCAATATTAGTTCTGGCTGATGGAAATGATTATTTCATCAAGATAATTTTTTTTATAAGGAATACTTTTCCTTTTAATGGGCATTGCACGACCAAAATCCAGATTAGTCTAAACCCCAATGTTCGTACAGAACACCAGATAAAAAACTAAAAATAAAATATCAGAATCAGCAAACTAACCCAGCATTGAAGTGTGAACGAGCAAGAAGTTCTTTGGAATTAGTTTGCCTACCACTCTCAACTTTCCTGCATGCATTTATCTTCCATCAGAGGAGAGAAGGATAATGGTGGATCCTTCCAGATTTCTCTCCCTCTCTCAATTTTCTTTTTTAAAAATATTTAGTTTCTTCTTAGTCTCAGTTTTTTGTTCTTTGATTCGGTTTTCTTGTTTCTTTTAGAGACTTGCTGTTTTCATTGAGCGGCCTAGAGCCTGTATTATGCCCAACTCGGTATATATGATACCAGATAGCCACTCTAAAGGGCTACTATTTAGAAATTAGTCGTTGCGTCCGAAATTTCAGTTTTTCGATTCAAATTTTTTTGACAAAAATATTCTAAATTATCATGAAATTAAGTTATTAGTTTAAAAATTCACAACAAAATAAGTATTGACTAATCTCTAAATAGCATCCCAGAGAATGGCTATCTGTGCACTTACCTGGGCTTGCAAAGTTTCATTTTAGTTTGAAGAATTAACTCAAATAGCCGCTCACCCTACCACTTAAACTAAAAATAGCCGGTGAATGTATAATTTATATATTATATATGTATAATTGTGTATAATTAATGTATAATTTATATATATGGCAAAGGTAAATAATTAATATGGCCGACTATATGTGTAAAAATTCCTGTGTGGCAAGATCTAAAAGAGAACTTCTACCGAATCTAAACTTCATTGCATATTTATATTCAAACTAAACACATAAAATCTCTATCTCTAAGAACAATATATGGTACATCAACATATAAATTAAAAATAAATTTCGTACAAATTTAATGCAAATTTGAATATCTACAACAACATACATAGTAAAAATAAATTTCATACAACTTATTTACAACTTATCTTCAACTTTCATACATTAGTTTTACCCAGTTAAATACAACTACAATATCATACGACTTAAATAGAATTTTTATACAAATTTTATATAATATGTCTTGTGTATATATTTTGTATCTGATTTATATATTTTTTGTCTGTGGTGTGTGCTTCTTCCTCTCTAAAATTTCAATCAAAACTTATTCTTTTAATACAATCTTGATATATATCATCAACTTTATGTAAAAAGATAGTATTGAAAAGTTAAATATAAATTTTATACAACGATTCATACATTATACAACTATTTTTCAACTTTCATACAACATTCAAATTAAAATTATAAATATAACTACAACGTAACATAATACAATTTACATACAATTATAATACAACTTTACTACAATTTCGTAAGTATATTGTATATCATGTATTTTTCTTCTTCTTCTTCTTCTTCTTCAAGTTTCAATATGAAATTCAGCTAAAATCAAGTCTAATACTCACCAAAACACCCTCAAAATTGAGATATAAACTCCAAACAATATTTCTAATTATTTGCAACAATACCCAATCCAAACAAATAATAATTTTTGAAAACAAAAATTCGATTTCAAAGCTTCAAACCTTTTTAATGGCTGTCAATGGTGGAGAGTCAAAGACCTTTAAAATTTATTGACTAACAATTTCAATTTAAATTTCTCAAATTATTAGAAATTCCTCAATTCTTTCCATAACATAAGGAGGCTAATTAAAAGCTTTAAATCTAAAAATCCTATGGGGATCCTCATGTCGATCAGCTCCGAAGACATGAGGGTGAAGCCTGGTCTATCTATCCAATAGCTTCTGCGGCTCGCCGGCCGCAACTGGTCTAAGCTCAGATACAACTGCTGCAACTGGCTGGGCTCCTCCCACGGGTAGTGCACCCAGGGTCTGATATACGGCAGTTTCATGTCCTGGAGCCTAAACTGTGGGGTTCTGTGCACCCCTCCCGCCTAGGATGTGGATGGGTCCGCTGGAAATAAACCAGCCTGAGTCATAGAATCCATGAACCGCAGCATACGGTCCATGACTTCCTGAAATCCTAGCATGGACATGAAGTCTACCGGAGTTGGCTCTGCTACAAGCACCTCACCCTGCTCCTCAACAATAAGATACTTTACTGGATCCACTGGCGGTGCTACAGGAATAGCTCTGGGACATCCTCGTCCTCGCCCTCTACCACAGGCTGGAGCCCTCCCCTGGCCTCTGCCTCGGCCTCTAACAACATGGGGAGTAGCTCCTCCCTGGCCGGGAGTATCAGCCGGGCGCGTTCTCACCATCTGTGAGAGAATAAGAGAAATTAACTTAGTACAATAGTGACTGCACGATAGGAGGGAAAGAAAGAATAGTTTTCTAACACTCTATAGCCTCTCTAACATAAGTACAAATATCTCTGCACCGATCCGTAAGACTCTATTAGGCCCGCTCATAACTTGTGAGACCTACGTGAACCTAGTGCTCTAATATCATGTTGTCACGACCCAATTTCACCCATAGATTGTGATGGCGCCCAACACTATTGCCGGGCAAGCCAACAGTAAACAAGCCGTGTGATTTCTTCTTTTAGAAATTTAGAAA